ATGCGAAAATCATCCATCAAGTACATGTTTATATCGGAGACATTGGCTGCGTTCAGCAGATTCAACAGTTGAATGTTTGCTGCTATTGATGTATTCTTTTAAATCTAAAATTCTGATTGGATGATCTAAAAGAATACATCAATAGCAGGCGAACGCTCATTCAACTGTTGAGTCCGCTGAATGCGCCCATTGATTACCACTTGATATACGATTACGGCTATCATATCTGAATTACAAGAAAAAAGTCTCGAAAAAACTACACGTGTACGTTTTAAAAAAAGTTTATGATTCGGAGGCGAAATGATTTTTATATGCGTTGAAGGTATTTAATAAAATAAAATTTCTAGAACACAATTTTTATTGACAATTCTTATTAACATAATTTTATAAATATCAAATTTTAATTAATGACTTTTGAAGTTTTACCTCAAAAAGAGTATAAATACTTTTAAGAGAATATATCTGATAACTTTATATACGATGAATTCATGCCATAAATAATCGACAAAAATTGATATTATAAAAATAATTTTTAAACTATCCCTTTCTGTCTTTCTATCGGCTTTATAAAAAGAAAGAAAGATTTTTAAACTTCGCGCTTAAAATCAAAGTAATGTTGGTGCAATCGGGTGACGCGCAGGTCTCTCTCTCTCTCTCTCTCTCTCTCTCTCAGACAGAAAATTATTTTTTTAAAATGTTTATGTTTATTGATAGATAAATCTATGTCACACAAACAAAATAAGATATAACACAAATTTGTCATATCTTATTTTTTAGCGATAATCTACTTTATCTTATTTTTGATAACTCCTGAAGGCTGCAAAACTACAGTCATTTATGTACAAGCTTAATAATGTTATAAGTTCATGCTTCTTTTCATATCATATTATACATAAATCGCTGCTCATAATAATGTCATATTCTTAATTAAATATGCACTGACGTCGGCAGTATTGAAAGTATTGGCCTATTTGTCTATTTCATTCGTACGCGCTCGTTATTACTTCGAACGCGGAAATGTTGGGAAAGGATTGCATGCTCGTAACAAGCCGCCAGGATGCAAATTACGTTATGCTTGCGGTTACGTAACGTATTATTTATGGTAAACGCTGATATGAAATTGAAAAACAATAAGCACCTTTCTGAGCGGGCTATCGTTAGGAGAGTTTTACGAGAAAGCTGAGAGTTGATGCGTTTCTCTATGCGTGTACACACATATTCCAGAAAGTGACAAGATTTCCGCGAGTTTCTTGTCTCCTTGAATTTTTTTCGCGATGTCTTAACGTTAAAAATAGAAAGACTCGGCTAGATCAACGTTTGCATATCCTTTTTCCCCTTTTTTTTATGCAGTTGTGAATTATGCTGTATTATCAGTTGATGTGCTCGCGAGGAAAGATGCGAAACGAAATTAGCAACAAAATTTTCCATTACGCAGATAATTTACCTATCTAAAATTCCTTTCATCCGGTTCAGTTGATTTGGAATATTGTTTAATTTTAATGATAAATTATAAATTATGGAGCTGTTTGCATAATGTCAATCTTTAATATATTCATGTAATTACTCAAAGAAGAATCTTATGCGACTTCATTAATAAAAGACACTCATTGTTAGTCTAACATTTTCCAAGTAACTCCTGCACAAACATCCTTTGACGGTTTTTTTTATTTTTGTCATTGATAGAGCTGTCAATGTTTTTAGCACCGATCTTGTGCAATTATATTTTTCTTGACAGCCTTGAAAAAAAATATCGTATATATATTATTTATCTTATTATTATTACTGATGTTGAACAATAACACTATGTGGCATTGAACGTTATAGGCTACTTAACATTAGATTGCATTTATCTAATTGTTATCGCAAGTAAATAAATGATAAATATAAAGATAAAATTAATTTTTTTTAGAAAACAATAAAAGCTTTTTCTAATTTATGTATCATAAAGAATTTTTGATTTTTAATATTAAGAAAGTATGAGAGAAGGTTTTTAATATTAAGGAAGTATGACTAATATTTCAAAATAATAAAAAAGTTGTGAAAAAATTACAGATTATTCGCATTTAAAAGTAATATAAAAAATTTAATGACAATTTACCATCTGGATAAAAAATTATTTCAAGAAATAATATTTTTTTATCTGCTCCAATTGAAAGGTATAGAAATGTAATGTATTGTAAAATAATGACAAAAATCTCAATGTTTTAATGTATGTACTTTAAGTATCTAAGAGATTCATAAAAAATATATTGCGATATAGAAATTGGTTGTCCTGTAAATAAATAAAATATTTATTTGTTTTAAATCTTTGTTTAATCGGTGAATCGCAAAAAAATTTTGCACAAGCTATTTCGAATACTTAAAGTATTCGTACAAAAACATTTATTTTTTAAATTTTAATTTATAACAATAAAAATAATAATATACACAACCTGTCAAATCTGTTGTCAAATTTAATCTAATTTAAGTCGCCACTGCTCTTACTTAATATAATCGTTATTTTATATTAAAAACAATGGTTAAATTTGACACTATATAATGTCAATTTGACGCTATATGTATTGAGTAGGAGCAGTGGCGACTTAAATTAGGTTGAATTTGATACTATAGATTTAAGAGTGATAGACTAAGGGCCAGTTATTCCATCTTCGGATAAACTATGTGATAATTTATCTAATGGATAAACAAAAAAGTAAAAGAGTAAGAGTATGAGAGAGTAAGAGAGTAAGAGAGTGAGTTAAAGTTTATTGAAAGATGGAACAACCCTTCCTAAATAAACTATATAAATGTGTTGTTCAATAAAAATAGAATAGTTATATAAGTACAAATATATAATGGTAATAAGGCTCAATAAATTAAAAATATCAAAAAGAAATAGGGCTACGAGCCATAGATCAATCAACACACATAGTCTAAATTAATAAAATAAACATAAACATAACACAATAAACTTTAATAACTGCCGGCAATAAATAATACAAACGTTTCGATCTCTATCGAATAATTATCAATGTTGGAAATGAATACAAAAACAAAGAAAATATATAAAATTAAAAATCAGAATTTCCCTCTCATCTCGCAGTACTTCCGCTAACATATTGAAAATGCACGATGCGAAATCGGTAATGTGTGTTTCTCCGTTAATATGCAATGTATGATTTCTGTTGAAAAACATAAGTCATACAGAAATTAAAGTCGGTAATATAAAATACAAGAAATATGAACTAATGCACATACAAAAAATGATAAGTCAGTAATATAAAATAAGAAATATGAACACATTATAATATATGTAGAGAACATTAAAAATAAGCAACTGAATAAAAAGATTGAATACCTTAAAGCGGATCTTAATCAGACAAATGCGAAGTTATAAGTACAACTTTTTATATATGTATATAATTTATTTAAAGTATAAATATTAATATATGTGCTGTATATTGATCGTATTTCCATTATAATATTTAAAGTTGAGGATATGCAACGATTGAATTTGTCAGAGATTAATCTCACGTATACGATTAATCTCTGACGATTGCAAATTGTAATTGTGAAATAATATGGTTAAATAACAGGAGGATATTTTTTATAGTTTTGTTAAAGCTGGAAATGGATTTATACGATTAATATCTAATAAAAAAACAAACTATTTATTTGTTATTTCAATTAGCAATTAGATCAAGGTTGCAGAGTGCATTTATTTTTTATTACTTACTTTTTTATAACTTACGTGACATTATTTATTTAAACATATTTTTAAATTTATGCATGATAAAATTTATACGGTGTTGATTTTTTTGTTCACATGATGCATTTCGTATTTCGTCTGAATAGATAAATGTTTATACTTTTTTATACGTCGTAGTCGCATATGGAAGATGCAACTGCTATTATGCAATCATGATTAAGCTATTTGGTGTCAAGTCAGTTATCAAAGAACATATGTCTACAAAGCGAATGAGTCTCGATAAGTGACAAAAATGTGTTACGAACATTAATTCTTTAACGTGATTGTGAATATATCGAAACAGGATCTGAATAGAATGTTTTTCGATGGACTTGTTTGCTGAAAACGAAACTTTTCACTGACGAAAGGCGAATGATCTTGCGATTGATCTATGATGAGATTTATCACATCAGGTTTAAATCGTTAGATTGAATAGATAATTATCTTGATGATTTATCATATGCTAATTATGCATATGAAAAAAATCGTATTGGAATAAATGTAAATTTAATTATAGGTAAAAGATGGCACTTTAAAATAATGCAAATGAAATTGAAAGAAAAAATTTAGTTGGTTGTAAATAAATGATAAATTAGATAAATATGACTAAAACGACAATTTAGTACATTTAATCTCAATTTTCTTGGAAACTTGACGTAACAGTTCAATTTGGCCGCTGGATTCGCTTTCAGTCACCAGAAGTCCATTGAAAAATACTTTATTTATTCAGACCTCAAAAAAGTATTGAACTGTGTAATCAATAGATTTTTAAATTACTAAACTTAAACGCTTGCTTAAATCAATGCGAAAGAGAGATACAGCTGTTTCACATACTGAAAATTTCTTAAAGCCCGGGTTCTTCGCATTTTCGTGAGAAAGGCGAAACTTTCTCAAAGTAATAAAGAGCAGCGTGATGCATCTTGAATACTGAATGCTTGATGCTTTTGTGATAAGAGTTTATGTTTTCTCCGGAAATAATAAACGATAAGGATCAGCAGATGCGCAAAGAATCCGTTGAGATTAGAAATTTTACTTTTCGAAAGTATCTTGTCTGCAGAAAGAGACTTAGGATTACATTATTTTGAAAAGTTATAATACGCACATGTCTCGCGTGTTTTATTGGAATTATTTATCCGAGAATGATTTTTGGACAGTGCCAAAAACCATGAAATCGCGTCTTTCAAATAACAAACGAAATAGTAAATTATAATAATAAGAGGTTCTGGGACAATGTATATAATAACTCTTGCATTCGCTCTCACTAATGTTTCAGCGTGTCCAGGTGAGAATCGGAAACTTCTGGTGTTGGTGAACCCGAAATCAGGACCTGGCAGAGGCAGAGATACCTTCCAGAAGAGGGTCCATCCAATCTTGTCGGAAGCGGAGAGATCTTACGACATTCATATTACCAAGTGTTCTAATTACGCCCGTGAGTTCGTGCGCACAAGGGATATTTATCAATGGAGCGGTCTGTTGATGGTCGGTGGCGATGGAATCGTCTTCGAGGTAGTGAACGGAATCTTCCAAAGGCCTGATTGGGAGAAAGCTTTGCGCGAATTGCCGCTCGGGGTAATACCATGCGGTTCCGGCAATGGTTTGGCAAAGTCCATCGCTCATGCTAAGAAGTAAGTTCACCTTTTGATCTCGTGCAGCCAAAATTTTAGACAGTTGTACAATCTGTATGATTGGTACTAAGGTACTATAAAGTTCTAAATTGTAGAAAAAAAAAATGTTGAATCTTCCTCTGTTAATTACCGTAAGGCACCTCTCTCTCCCGCTCTCCCTCCTCTTCCTTCCTCTCTCTTTCTCTCTCGATATTTTTTGATAAAGTTATTACTAAAAACGTATAATCTAAGAATAAAATAATGTTTCAGAGAACCGTACGATCGCAATCCTTTGCTTATCAGCGCACTATCGGCGGTCAAATGTAAAAGGACATCGATGGATATTGTGCGCGTAGAAACTAGAAATCAGATTCTTTTCTCATTTCTGTCGGTGGGCTGGGGGTTACTCGCTGACATTGACATCGAAAGCGAACGACTTCGCGCCATCGGGGGCCAAAGATTTACTGTATGGAGCCTAGCGCGTCTAATAGGATTGAGAACATATAAAGGCAAAGTGTCGTATTTACCTTGCAACAAGGTTCCTCCTACAGAAAATATGGAAAACGGCAATATATATCACAAGGACTATGTTGCAGAGAACATATTGTCGCATTCGAGAAGCTATGGCGACGAATTGGACAGGTAATAACTCTGCGTGATGATAATAACGGATTTTTTAATAGAATGTAATGACAGATAACGTATTAAGGCACATATTAAATCAGCGTGATTGTCTGTCAACGTGCCACGCGCCAGATATCAAAGATGATTTCAGAGTACATGTACAAAAGTTTTATCATCGATTCTCTTGAAGCTATTTTATATATTTGAAGATACAGAGAAACTGAATCTGCTCGAAAAATAATGTCGCTGTGAGTATGTTGTGTGTATGTGTGTGTGTGTATTGAAATTGAAGTATATATGCACACTGCATATTCACCGAGTTTAACAACTTGTTTGGCTCTGAGAATATTTTCGATAACTTTACACAGATATATTATATTAAACGCAATAAGAAATATGATATATTATTTAACTATGTCGTTTCTTTTTGCTATTTACTGAGTTTATTTACGAAAAATAAATATGTATGTAGGTGTTGTGCCGGGCCTGAATCAGAACCGAAAGGTTTCTACAATACTTTCGGTGAATCATCCAACGATTTGAACGGTTACGATGATAACGACGTGATAACTGAGAACCTAGCTCTCGAGACGGAAAACGAGAGGAGACACAGACTTGACAGCTTTTACTCCGCAACATCAGCAAAGTCGACTTATTTCAGCACAGGTTCCGCCTCGAGTTATCACAGTATGGAAGATGATAACAGCACAGAGATTGGTATGTACTAAAATCGAATGTACTTTTATTGATTTTATAACGTCCGTACTAATAAATGTATCGTTAAGATGCAGAAAACATCTGTAACAATCAAGTTATGTATGGGCCATCATCTACACTTCCGGCGCTAACAACGCAGCTCTCAAATTGCTGGACAACGATTCAAGGTAAGGTAATTACTTAAATAACGGAAGTCTTGCACCGATAATTTGAATTTTGAAAATTTTAAACAAATTTCTTTTCTTTTGTTTGCTTTACTTTTAAACATATATTTAACTAAAGTTCATACCGAAGTATATTTAGAAAGTATATACGAGAGAAACGAACACTTTAGTTTTAATATTTATAATTTATAAGACTTGTGAGACGAGTTCAAAGACACATGTATTTGTTGTCATATAATATGGTGCCAAAGGTTGCCGCGTAATGTATCACTTATTAACCCTTTAACTCCAGTTGAATTCGAAGTAACGTCACGTACCACTTAATAAAATGCCGAATATAATGGAGCATAATTGAAAAAATATATATAATATAATATAATACATTTCAATTGCAATACTTACATTCGAAAAATAAATTCATAGAATTTTTATGCCATTTTTCACAATGCATAAGAACTAAAAACGAAGTTTATAGCGTGTATGTGTATGTAGAATATTGTATGTTTAAAATTTTAGGAGAATTCATAATGGTACATGCAGCATATCAAACACATTTAGGACAGGACTATTTTTTTGCGCCACGTGCTGCATTAGCTGATGGAATTATTTGGCTTTTAATAGCTAAAGCCGGTATTACACGGGCCAGCTTAGTGCAAGTAAGCTATATTATAAAGCAGGAAGAAAAAGAAAACAGTACGGTTGTATAGTGATACTTATCGTATTTGCTTATTAGTTTTTATTAGGTCTGAGTAGTGGAACTCATGTGACTTGCCCTGGCGTTGATATGATACCTGTGAAGGCATTTCGAATAGAACCTATGGAAGGAACGAGTGGATATATAACCGTAGACGGTGAGGAAGTTGATTACGGACCGTTGCAAGCCGAGATATTCTCTTCCTTAGCATCGGTGATGACACCCTGACATAAACGATAATCATGTATATTTAATGGTGATATCAAACAAAATCAAATAATCCGGATAATTCGACGAGAAAAATTTATTCTAGGCTAGCTTAGAATAAATTAGTTATAAGATAGTAACACCAAACTGTTAATATATGTATATTATCTATAAAAGATATTTCGGATTGTAAATTTTTAATTGACAATCTAAGTAAGCTATTTAAACTTCATTCTTATTACCTTGCGATGTGCTCAGTCAAAAGGGAGAGTTCTTTTTTTTTCTCTTCGTAAGAAAAGGTTGATAGATAAATATATACATAGAATTATTTATTAATCTAGAGTTGGACGGGTTAAATCTGTTGCATCTTAATAGATACACATTTAGCCATTTTGTAAAGTTTTCTATCAGTTTGTACAGTGTATCTATACATGCAACGAAATGATATTATTTGTGCTCACTATTGTAAACTATAATATTACGCGTAAGATATTATATTTTGTTACCATATAAAATAAATTAATGAATTGTTTCTTTTTTACATATACAAATATTTTTCGAGTCGATACTAACCAAATGCATTAGAGAAACTGTAAACTTTATTATCACATTTTTTAATATGTTTGCGTCTTACATCTTTAATGCACAATAAAATGATACTGCATTGTTTACGATTTGATATGCTGCACAAATAAAATAATATTTTAATAATAAGTAACATGCTACAGTAATCGGTTTGATTACATATTAACTATTTCGTTACTTTCATTTCCATATGAAATATAAAGAACAATACATGACAGGAATCATATATCGTAAAATCGTAGTAAAATTAATTACGTATGATATGTATGTATCATACTTAAAATATTAAATTGCAAAATTAAGATTTAATTATTAATTTTGCTGATTAAATTTTTTCCTTAATTAAAAGTGTTTTTTGTGTGTGATTATTATTATTATACTTAATAAACGCAATTGAAAGAGAGATGAGATTTAAAAAAGTTGTTTTATTAAATCAAGCTTTTTCCGAATTTTTATCATCTTTCATACCACATAATCTTGACTCAATGTCATGTATAGTTACAGATTAGTTTCGCCATAATTTCTCATGGTAAAGGCCGAAGAGAATGAACCAATCAGAATCCTTCCTTTCCTTCCATTTCATGAAAAAGTGGAGCTTTAATTGGTTGATTCTCTTATGCACTATGCGTTATGCAAAAGTCTGTGCTGCTGCCATAAAGTAGTGCGATACAAATTTAAAAAGTTTGAGAAGTTTTGTTTTACTATGTTCAAGAGAGCGTCATATATACGACGCATGGAACAATGTTTTTACATTAGTGAGTTCATTTTTGGTCACCTCTATTCGTGAATAAGTAATTCTGAATACAATAATGAGAATGGCGAATATGACGGAAACGTATATTTTTCTTGGACGCAGTCAACCTCCATCTAAATAAACGTCGTAATTTATCGAAGTGATTAGATTTCGCGCTCCTTTGTTTACGCTATAAATAACAGTTGATCGCTTACTGTTTACTTCTTTGCCGCATTTCAGAAACATAATTCGTAACGCTTGTAACGCGCGTATCTTGGGGAATTTGCTTCGATAATTAATATTCAAGGAGATATGTTTAGGTGATAAAAGGCGAAACGTTACCGTTGTTAAGTCTACACGTATCATTTATTATTCTCTCTTTACAACAGCGAGTCGTGATCATCGATCGCCATCAATCCCGATGATCCGCCTCTCGTTCCTTCTCGCTTTAAAACTTCCCTTTTGTACGTGGGTCTCCGCATGCGCGTCACTCGAGTTCGATGACGATGAAATAGATGAAGTATGAAAATGAAAAAAGTGAAGAAGTTTATGGATCAGTCTCTTTACACAAGAGTAAACAATGAACACGGAGAGCACGGTTCCCCAGGCGAGTGTCGTCGTGTCGTGTGTGATAAAAATCGCAAATTTCGCGGTCTTGGCGTGGCAACGACGAACTGTCGATTACAGCTCGAAAAAAAAAAAAAGACAGAATTGTAGCTCGTTAAAATAATCTTAAGTAAAACTATTTATATGCATGTACGAGTACGTTCCCCGAAATCGTCGCCGTTCCATTTGCATCTACGGATTCTCTTTACCAATTTAAAAGCGAAATTGTGACCTTCTCGAGTAAAAGCAACGACAAATAAATTAAACGTTGTAGTGAAAGTTATTTTTATAAAATGCAACAAAATCGGATCTTTGCGGAAAGTCGCGAGAAAGAGAAGTTTCAGAACTTTAGAAACGGCATTCCCCTAAATTGTACGAGAGAATCCCACAAATCGATCGAACGGCGATAACTCCGGAGCCTTCTGTATACATATCCGTATATACTACAAACATAAAAATGCCCTGGCCGAATCCCTCTCCGTTTCCCTCGATCTCCTTTTGTCGCAACGTCCTACTGAATTGATAATAGAATCGCGACTTGTAGAAACGCCGTACGTGCGTCGTACGTGTTTGCGAGGAAGAATTCTACAGAAAAAAATATTTTTGCTCCGAAAAGTCAACGAACGATTGTCTCATATTCTCGTACGAAAACAAATTGAACAGTCTGGCAGTTTATCTCAAGGAAACTCATTTCCGAATGGGCTGAGCGATGATTGTATGTACAATGCGGAGAATGATGGTAATTTTTTTTTCAGTCACGCCAGAACTCATCGATCAGTAGTCTAATTTCCATGGAAGTCCTTAATTCGATATAGTACGCTGTTTCCATTGGAAATAGAGACCTTGTGGATCGAAGCGAGAATAAAATAAACGCAACTAATGCATTCCCGGGAAAAATGTTGTATATATGGACATATTTTATATATAATTGTATATAATTATATAATATATAATATATTGTACAAAATTGAATATATCAATTTTATATAATTTTGTATGAATTATATATGAATATATGTAATATACAATTATATACACAATTATATATGAAACATTTTTTCCCGGGTTTCTATCGACTTAAATTTTGATTTTACGTTGGTTGCACATTAAGTGTAAATTAATGCTTCGATGGAAACTAGACTAGTGACACATCGATCAGCTGCTATTTCGAAGGTTCTGAGAATCCTTGAACGATTCGAAGGCTACAGGAGGAATATCGACCAGGCCAACGATCGCAATATTCGTACGTAGCGCAGGCGGTGTATATACAGAGTCTATTACTGAATTAACACTAAAAATGGAAATATACGCAGAAACGTAAATTCGGAGATCTGCGGAGATAAGTGGCTCTATCACACATCACAATCTTTGCGAAACGGCCGAAACGTCTCCCCGATCTCGCGGATCGTGAGTCATGATGCGCGCGAAAAAGAAACAGGAATAAAGAAAGAGATAAAGAAAGAGATAAAGGCGAGATATCGCAAACGGTGACATTTCCCGCGGAGTTTCCCAATCGAATGCCGGAGAATCGGGACAGACGTATTTATCTCGCTTTGTTTCCACGTCGTCTCGCCTCTACGATGACAAATTATTAATTTCGAAATATTATTCAGCACGCGCGCTCTCTTCCTCTCGCTCTTCTTGTCCTAACTTTCCGAGAGTTTATCGTGCACGTACATAAAAGTATATATACACATGCACGCATGCACGCACGCACCCACACACACACACACACACACACACACCACACACACGAAAGGCAAATCAAGCGTATTCGCATTCGGAGCATACATACACACTCCATGCTCACGTTTTCGCGCATTTTACAGTTGCAGTCTCTCCGCGTAAAAGATTAGAGAATCGATCATCTCGGCTCGGCAATCCATTTCACCTCTCAGCAAGGATTGGAGATCGATTGCATATCTTTAATTTTATAAAAGTGAGCAAAATCACTAGAATATATAATTTCTCTATGTAATTTTAATGGCTGCGTTCAGCTGAGAAAATAGCTTTGCAACTGCTGTAAAATTCTTTAATATGATTAATTTACACATCTAGATCCAATAAGAAAACTAAGAGCAAAATCAATCACATTAAAGAATTTTATAATGCGGGGCAAAAAATCTGTTTTCTCTGCTGATCGATATCTATTGAGAAAAAAAAAGTCTAAATATTTGCAAGCAAACATTTTCTTCGACATTTATTGATTATATAATAAAAAAATTTGACTGTGTGATGACAAAATATATATTTCTGTGAGATACGTGGACAGTTTGTCAATCAGTGACTTTTTAAAAGAAGACTGTTGAAAAACAAGTCGAACTTTTGATTAAGAAAAAAGTTAAGAAAGAGATTAATGACTCTAGTTTTATCAAACAGTTCACGTATCTCATTAATTGTAAAAAGAACAAAATAAATGGTTTATTTTCTTCTAGGAATAAAATTTTATTTCGTCATATTTAAATGAAGATATATTTCAGTGAAATAAACATTATATCCGACAAAAAAGATATTTTTAAATATTTTTCTTGGTGTAGTGAATTTGCTTACTTTTATAATTTTCATTGTTCAAGATATACAGTTGATCCCTTGCTTCTAAAATTTATTTACTAGCTGCAAAATCGCGCGTCAAGAAGTCTTACTAAGTACCTAAAATAATCCCTACGAATTTGGACTGCGAGCGGCGAGTTCTCCCTCCTCTTCTTTTTTCTTCATTTTTTTTCTTTTTTTCTTCTTCGAACGATAAGGACTACCAACGTCGTTGGCACGTGGACGTTGTCAATTGGATCTTTCCTTGCGAGAATCATATCGAATCACGAAATTATGAACACCCCGCGGAAATTCTTACAGTATAATATTGTCGAAACTATATTTATCTATAAGGATAGAATTTATTACGAACACGTTGCTGGTACAACAAAAAACTTGTGACACGCGTTGTACATCACTTTTACATCGAAATAATAAATAATTGATCTTTTGGCCGTCAGAAACGATCGACACACTTTTCTTTTGTCTCCAATCGAGTACGCTACAGGCGTACAAAACTGCCAATTATATAAACATAATATTTTTGATAAATAAGTGGGGGGCCTTTCGGCACACAACGAATTATGACATATTTTGTATTCGGGCAATCAGCACTCGAATTGGAGTGTCTTATAAAATATTGAAGAAAATATTAATCAATTTCGCACATATACATCATTCAAGCACCG